TTTTTTTTTTTTTTTTTCATTTTCCTAAAGATCTCCATGCGTCGTTCTTTCAGTTTACTCATGTGCTCAAACTTAGGACTTCATTTGATGAGGTCATATAATTTTCGGATATATATGATGCTACCCTTTAGGATTGGCCTAATTAGTAATTACTACAAAACGTCCCAACTAGCTCTGGAAATTATATCTCATAATTGCACTCGTCAATATTTCTGCATATTACAAGCCTACACCACAATAAAGCTCGTGGCTATTTGTAATATTCTGAAATTATAAATTAGTAAATCTTTTTCCAAATATCAGCAAATATTCTATTAATGATTGGACCAAAATGTAAAGATGGATTATATATCCTCAATTTGTGACAGGCATAACGGCAGCTTCTGGAATAGCTGCCGAGCTAGGAATCCCGTTGACACATCGTGGGATTGCCAACAGCGTTAGATTTCTAACAGGGCACTCGAGAAAGGGAGGTGCAGATCCTCTTTTCGTGGGCAAGCATGCAGCAGATCCAGACTCTACACTCGTTGTCTACATGGGTTTATCGACCTTCCCTTCACTCTCATCAAAGCTGATGTGTCACGGTTTGCCTGACGATACCCCGGCTGCAGCCATCGAGCGAGGAACTACTCCTCAACAGCGCATAGTAAGCAAAATATTTAATTATATTTTATTTTATATTTCGTATCAACGTTAATCTGCAACGGATAATTTTCAAGTACTGCCCGTGATGTTTAAGCACACGAGGTTTTGGCTATGGCTATGTTTGGTAAAACTAACTGATAAGTTAGTTGATAGCTGGTAAGTGATTTTCGAGTTTATAGCTCATAGCTTATGATGAGCTTCTGACTTAAAGCTGAAAAGCTAGCTTATATGATAAAAGTGTTTGGTAAAATTAGTTGATAGACCAACTAGCTGAAATAAAAATTTCAACGAGCTTATTTGAAAAGTTACCCAAAAGAAGCTTATGAATCTTATGAGAGAAGCTCGAGCTTTTAAAAAAAATAAAAACTCGTCTTACCAAACGAATTTATTTAAATACCGGAAGCTTATAAGCTAACCAAATAAGCTAGAAGCTAGCTAGCTTATTTGGTTAGCCTTTGTAGATTATTACAAATTCCTCCATTGAATTCCATACAATATGAATTGCAGTTTACGCTTTAGTCATCGTGTCTGTTATATAT